TTTTAAAATTGAGATTTATACATCATCTGAAAGCTGAATAAATAAGCATAAGGTTTGTTAGGATAGGACAATATTTGGTCGAGATACAATTATTTGAAAATCTGGAATCTGAGGGTGCAAAAAAATCTAAATATTGAGAAAATCATCTTTAAAGTTGTCCGAATGAATATCTAAGCAATGCATATTACTAATCAAAAATTACGTTTTGATATATTTACGGTAGAAAATTTACAAAATATCTTCAAGGAACATGATCTTTAATTAATACCCTAATGATCTTTGGCATAAAGTAAAAATCAATAATTTTGACCCATACAATGTATTGTTGGCTATTGCTACAAATATACCCCAGCGACTTAAGACTGCTTTTGTGCTCCAGGGTCACATTTGTGCATCTCAGAGCAACACTGCAGTGTTTCGTTCCTGAATGAATCATTTCAGTCAGTGATTCAAAAATCCACTCATAATGACAGTCATTTGCTTTGTTTCTAAATGAATCAGCCGTTTTGAACGAATCGTTTGAATGAATGATTCAATGAATCGCACGCTAAGACAGGGACTTTGTTTTAGTGTTATATCAAATTATCCATAAACCAACCAAGGTACCAGCACAAAACACTCTCTGCAAAATATTGTTTAATTAGCATTATTGAAAAAAGTCTCAAAAAATATTGAGATATTATTTTGTCAATATCGCAACGCACACCCTATTGCAGACAGATGTGCTCTACTCCAAATGTCAGGTCTGCGTTGATTAATTAATTGTTAAAGGATATTTAAATTGACTTGGTAATCCTGGATATCTTTGCTTAGGCCCTGAGGAGGACTTGCCAAGAAAAATGGAGTACCTGGAGTTTGTGTGTCACGCCCCGTCAGAGTATTTCAAATCCAGAAGCTGCCCTTTCCCAACATTACCAGTTCGTCCAGAAAAAGGCTACATCTGGACTCATATAGGACCGACGCCTGCTGTTGCCATCAAAGAAACCGTAGGGTGACGTCAACCCTTAAACTCAGACTGAACTGAATTGTTTTTATTTACATTAACTTTCAGTACAGCTTCAGATACTGAACCGTCATGCTCGGATGATTATGTGTGGTATTGCCCTCTGTAGAGTAAATTTCATAGTATTTTTCAAAGCAAAACAGGTGTACAAATTGCAAATCGAAACTTTATGTACAAAGTTAATTTGTAACGCATCATGCATACTTTCCAGGCGTGTATAAAGCCATACCACGCCGTTTATGTGTGCTGTCCTCTGTGCATCTCTCACATGTGTTTTCTGAGCGTTCAGTGGCAGCAGCTCTCAATAACACACTCCTGAGTCTGAGAGATTAGCCTGAAACAGATTCCAACTCTTGCATTAGATTTTAGCCAGAAGTTGATGTGAGCAAAAATGTGACCCTGGACCACAAAACCAGCCATAAGGGTCAATTTTGTGAAATTTAGATTTATGCATCACCTGAAAGCTGAATAAATAAGCTTTCCGTTTCCGTTGATTCCGTATGGTTTGTTATGATAAGACAATATTTGGCTGAGATGCAACTATTTGAAAATCTGGAATCTGAGCGTGCAAAAAAAATCTAAATATTGAGAAAATCATCTTTAAAGTTGTCCAAATTAAGTTCTTAGCAATGCATATTACTAATTACTAAAAATTAAGCTTTGATATATTTACAGTAGGACATTTACAAAATATCTTCATGGACCATGATCTTTACTTAATATCCTAATGATTTTTGGCATAAAAGAAAAATGGATAAGTTTGACCCATACAATGTATTGTTGGCTAGTGCTACAATGTATCCCAAAAAAAAAAAATACCTGGAAAGGACCTGGAGTAAAGTATAGTATAGTATTTTTAAATTTTTCACCTACTTTGAAACAGACTCTCAGTTAATCGTACAGTATTACTCCAGGTTTCTCTGCATTGCTGACATAACAATGTCCAAACTTTAGTAGATCTCTGATAAAACTGACTATTGCATTTTAAACCTGGCCTATAATAAAATGTCGTCATCATGCATTTGCATACTTTGTTAAGATGCATTACATAATCAGAGACGGTGAAACATTTAGCTTTTTATCTTTAGGGGACGTTAACTTAATGTTGTGTTTTTTTGTTTTGTTTAAAGCCTAATATTTTTAGATCAAACAGTAATTGCAAAACCCTTGGCAGTACCACGGCGGACCCCCTTGGAGTAAAAGAATAATGCAATTTAAAAAGGATTTCGCCTGTCAATGCAGAGAATGAATGTAAAGAATATGGCCTAGGACAAACTCTAAGACACACTGAATGCATTTATTATAAAAAGCCAGAGGCCAGAATATGAAAGCAAACAGCTGTTTGCACATCGTAGGTTTATGTGTCGACTCGTGTAACTTTTCATTTTTTTCAACTAAAAATGAAAGTCGTAGTCGAGATTAAAGTTAACAGGAAAGGTTCCACATGTGAGGCATTTGTGTAGATGATGTGTTGCACTATTCAGTCCATCTGTTCAGAGGGAGAACAGTGTGTGTGGGTTCAGGGCAGTCATAAATACTGAGTCTTATTTGTCTTTTTTGCTGATCTGTGAGTCTTCAGTTCCTCAGGCTTGCTAAGTTTCTTTCATCTCTGGAGTGTTTCATTCAGCTTGAACGCTCTAATTATATTTTCCTGTAAAACACAGAAGCGCATGTCTTCACCTTATACCTGTAATGACAGCATAGGGCTGCAAAGTTAAATGTACCGATGATATATCCCTGAGCTGGTGCTGAGTTTGAGAGGAAGACACTAGAGAAATGGACTCGCCTCTCGGCAACTGCTCCAGATTGTCCACTTTTCCAAATGTGAGGCCTAAGCAGTTCTACCTGGTGAACATAGTCAAAGTCATTAAGCTCGTGAACGAGTGTGAGCGCACAAGTGTGTGTGTTAGAGTGACAGATCATCAAACATGGGTGCAAATGGCTAAGACTTAATTGGCATAAAACTCAACAATCCACGTCACACGACACAGAAAAGCATGCACAATAATTAGTTTAGCGGATAAAAGAGGATAAAGGTCTTAGTTTCTGACATAAAGCGATATGACGTAATATGAATTAAATAATGCTAAATAATATATAATTTTAAGTAGTGCTGTCAAACGATTAAACGTTTTTGTTTGCATAATATATGTGTGTGTATTGCGTTTATTTACTATGCATATATAAATACACATTCAGTTTACATATTGATATATATTATATATAAATATATTTAATAAATAAACATAACACATTTTTCTTAAATATATGCATGCACGTGTTTGTATTTATATATACATAATAAACAGTATGCATATATTATGTAAACAAAAATGTTTATTTTGGATGCGATTAATCGTTTGACAGCACTAAAAAATAAAGCACCATGCATCAAGGTAAATATTATTTATGAATATCTTGTGTGATTATGTGTGTCATCTGATGAATGTGATCACATGTAAGCTTAGCTCTGTGGTTCTTCACCATGACAGTAGCACTGAGAAACATTAATATCTCCACCTCCCTCTGTACAGAGCAATTACACGTTATTCAAATATAGAAACACATTTGAACATGTTTGCAAATATATATTTACATTATATATATATTTTTCCAGATTTCATTCATTTGATAAAAAAATACAGTGAAAACGGTCATTTTTTTAATTTTCCGTTTTATTATATTTTAAAATGTATTTTATTACTGTGATGTAATGCTGAATTTTCAGCATCATTTAATTCAGAAATCATAACAATATGCTGATTTGCTGCTCAAGAGATATTTCTGATTATTATCAATGTTGCAACAGTCGTGCTGCTCAATATTTTTGTGGAAACCTTGATACACTACCATTCAAAGGTTTGGGGTAAAAAAAGGAAGAAACTAATACTTTTATTCTTTTAACTGAATAATAAAAATAAAATCAAAATCAAAAAAATCAAAAGTGAGAGTAAAGACATTTATAATGTTGACAAAACAAATTAATAATAATAATAATTTAAAATAAATGCTGTTCAGTGAACTTTGTATAGATCAAAAAATAAAAAAATAAAAAATCACACAAATATTAAGAAGCAAAAACTCTTTTTCACATTATTAATTGAACACCAATAATAATTGAGCAGCAAATCAGCATATTAAAATCATTTCTGAAGATCATGTGACTCTGAAGACTGCAGTAATGATGCTGAGAATACAGCTGCGCATCACAGAAATCAGTTATATTCACATTAAAAACAGCTATTTTAAATTGTAATAATATTTTACAGCTATTAATAAATAAATGCAGTGTTGGTGAACATAAGAGACTTGTATAAGTAAAATAAAATACACATTTATTTACTGCACATATAAATACATATTTAAACCAACATAAGCATGACAGTACTGTATAAAATACACTTAGATGCTGTGTTTTGTTCTGTTTACAGGGACAACACTAAAGTCCCGTGTGACTTTTCTGCTAGTGCAGGTGTAAAGTGTTATTAGGCTGCAATAAAGTAATCATGTCAGAGATCGTCGCTGCTTCTGTAGGCACTGACCGAGTCAAAGGCGCAGGAGTTGTTGTCCTCTCTTCAGGACGGGGATATGCTCGCACAGTCCTGGACTAGCTAAGAAAGCAACTAAGAAAACAGACATAGATCTGCTGTTAAAGTATAGTAAGAGTGAAACGAAGGGTTTACCCAAACAACATGTGAGGGATAGATGGCAGAAACAATGGGAAGAAGAAGAAGATGGTTTTATAGCATTCATAGAGTTGTTGGTAAATATAGAGTAACAGGAAGAAACACACATGAGGAAACATATAGGCTTCGAATATAGTGAATTCCAAGGGTTTCAATGTAGATTCTGTCACTGACACTTGTACACATGACAAATAAAACTTAAGATTATGACCCTGACCCACACTCTTAATCAGTAGGGGGCGTTAATGCACCTAAAAGTTGTATGCCATCCGCCTTTAAAACCCCAAGGAGAAGAATAAAACGCGTTTTGCGTATACGGTTTGAAACTGGCGGCTGCTCGCTTTCCGTAGCGTGACGCGCTTGCTGTTGGCGGGCCCTTTTGTAAACATCAACAGAAACATGGAGGAGTCCGAGAAGAGCGGGGAATCTTTCTCAGCTAAAGGTAGTGTGGATAAAGTGGACGAAAGTGGTTCGTCTCGTCGGAATGACTCGGTTAAGTCATCGCAATCTAAACCGAGACTCAAGCTCTTCGGTAAAGTGATGGAGAAGAGTCTGCAGTGGCTGCTGGACAACGCCAGGTACGTTAACGTACGAAATACAGCTTTCCCCTTCCTTCGCATTGTGTTTTTGTCGTCTCTTACTAAGTTAGCGCCACTCTTTGTGTCAGTTTCGACAGGTTTTCCCACTGTTTCCAGCCTCTGTCAAAGCAGAACCCTCAGCTGACTGAAGCCATGCACAAACAGTTCATCAGCCAGCTGCAGACTTTAGTTCAGGTAACAAATAACGTTAAAATACAGGACTCGCGAGAACATCCGGGCGCTTTCCAAACGAAGCTTCGAATCCTTTGCGAATCGTTTGTTTTCGAATCAGTGACTCGGGACGCGAATCAAACAGTGTTGCCAGCTACCGTATTGGCCCTAATATAAGACGACCTGTCCAGATGCACCTTTTGGAAAAAGGCTTTTGACTGTGTTTTCAGTAAAACACATTTTGTCTTCGATTATTTTCATATTGCATATTTTTCCTATTTTAATTTTTGTTTTGAAAGTATGGTAAAAACTGGTCAAATGTACCAACAATCACATTTAAAAAAATGCACTTTTTGATATACCATTACAAAAAAAAAACAACAACAGGTAGCCCATCTGAATTAGGACATTTAGGCTATCCATCTAATAGTAGCCTACCAAAATCTTATTAACAGTAGAAGTTAAATCTTACTGTAGTCTTCAAATCTGGGTACTGTCTTACGTTTTAAAAGGGTCATATGATGCTTTTTTAAAGATCATTATTTTGTGTATTTGGTGTAACAGAATATGTTGACATGCTTTAATGTTCAAAAAACATTATTTTTCAAATACTGTACATTATTGTAGGTCCTCTATGCCCCGGACGTATTTCCAAGAAAAAAACATTCTTATATTCGGGTCAATACGGTAATTTTCAGGGGAAGTTCCTAAAGAAAGGTCGATTGGTTGCCAAATGACGTCATTACATAATCAGGATGTAAAATTGTCACTGCATCAAATCTCAGCAAAAAATATATTTTAGATATGTTGATTTAGATCCGTTCATAAAGATAATATAAATAACTATTTTAAAATACAACATTGGTGCACAATTTTAAGTTTTTTTATTAGCTAGTAAACTAGTAAAACTACATTGTCAACCATTATAGTTTTGAGCAGTGTATTATTAGAAGTTAGTATACTACACTCTAAGAAGAGTCTGTAAAAATAGAGCACAATCTACTGTTAATATGAAGGAATTTTCTATGGAAGCCTGTTTCCGCCACTAAATAAAGAATAAAACAAGGTAATTGCGACTTTTTATCTCGCAATTCTGACATTTTTTCTCACAATTGCGAGTTATAAAGTCAGAATTGAATGACCGCCATCTCACAGATTACATGCGTGTAATTTGACGGATTGATCCGTGTAACATTGAACAGTCTATATAATATCAGAATGTTGCTTTATAGTAGCTTTTTGCATTCGTGTTTTAGTAGTGATGATGTATCATGTGTTTTGTGGTGTGACTTGTGTGTTTAGAGAGAAATCTCCACTGTGATTGAGGAGGGCGACCTGCAGGTGAAGTTTGAAGAGCTGGACAGACTGGAGGAGCTTGCTAAAGACACACCACGAGCTGCTTGGTGAGTTCACAGACCGATGATAACCTGAGTCCACAGCGTATTGTCTTTTATAATGAAAAACACAAGCAATGGCCAAAATATGTTTAATCTGTGCCACAGCCAGTTATTCTAGTTTGAACTAAGTGTGTGTTCCGTGTCGGAATGTCTCTTTTTGTTTTCATCTGTGACTCCGCCCACTGCCAGTTTAGCCAATAGGATTTCAACTCTCTGGGTTGCCAGTTAGTGGAAAACTCAGCCAACGGAGGAGACCTGATTCAAACATCAAACAAACAGATGCTAAGACTAGATCCATGGAAACTATTCATTTTTTGATCTTTCCATCTAATTTTTAATAAACACGCTAATTTGTAGTGCAATTGTTGTACCGTTTACTGCACTTTAAGTGTGTCACACATCAGACGTGAAGCGCTGCGCTGCAACCAATGAACTGAAGTCTCACTAAGACACAAGTCTTTCTTTCCAAGAAAACTGAATTTAAAACCAGAATATATAGAGAATATATTGAATTAGGTTAAATATTTCAAGAGGGTTACCAAAGGTCACTCTCACTCTCTCACACACACACACTCTCTCACACACACACACACACACACACACATGTTTAGGGTTAGGAGTTGGCTAGGACAATAGTTAAGTGTATACAATTAAACAACTACATATTTCCTTAAAAAATAATAGTATGCAGAATTGAATAGCAAGTGCTATAACATGAGGTGCTGTAATAGATACATACATACATACATACAAGAATAAAAACCTATAGGGTCCTAGAAATACAGCCTCCAGTTGTGCAGCAATACCCTTCTCAATATTTGAAGAGCTCATTAGCAAAAATAGATCAATAGATGTTAAAAAGTCGTGTTTTTTGTTTATCCTGCATTCCAATTAATATCAGTCAAACTGCAGTTGGGTTGTTTTGATTAAATATAATAACTAAAAAAAAATACAGCTAACTAGCACAATAAAACATGATAACACAATAAAAAAAAAACATGATTTAGGAAAATGAATAAAAACGGAGTTATCTGTTTTTGCAAATAAACTATTCATTTTGACTTGGACTGCAGTACCCATTTCAACCGCTAGCTGTCACCTGACCATCTCTAAACACTACCATCTCTCGTATTTTCCCACTTGCATAACTAAATGAAGCATTTTTTGAGTCTTGTATATTTAATGTGTCCTGATGTTATCGTTGAGGCTCATGTTTTGTATCGTAGGCGTCCGAGTGGCGTTCCAGAGCAGGATGTGTGCAGTGGTTTAGTGTCGTATTATAAGAAGCAGGAGGAGTACATGCGGATACAGCTGAAGAAGCTCCAGAAGGAGAACGCAGGTCTTGCTCAGAAGGTGCAGGCCGGCCGAGAGAACATCACACACACAGAGCAGCACATTGCCGCAGGAGTGGAAGAATGGAGGGTACCAGAAATTTCTCTGATACACTCACATTTTCATTGCCATAAGCTGAATAAATAAGCTTTCCATTGATGTATGGTTTGTTAGGATAGGACAATATTTGGCTGAGATACAACTATTTGAAAATCTGGAATCTGAGGGTGCAAAAAAATCTAAATATTGAGAAAATCACCTTTAAAGTTGTCCAAATGAAGCTCTTAGCAATGCATATTACTAATCAAAAATTAAGTTTTGATATATTTACGGTAGGAAATTTACAAAATATCTTCATGGAACATGATCTGTACTTAATATCCTAATGATTTTTGGCATAAAAGAAAAATCCATAATTTTGACCCATACGGTGTATTGTTGGCTATTGCTACAAATATACCCCAGCGACTTAAGACTGCTTTTGTGCTCCAGGGCCACATATGTTACCACAGATTCAGCTTTGCCTCTTCTTCTCCATCTGCAGGCATCACTTGAAGATCTGGAAGCTTTTGTCTCGACTCTTTCCCCATCTGAACACTTTGGGTCTCTCTAACATCCACGGTCATTTCTTGGATTTGGTGAAGCCTGAATATAATTTTACTGTGCATCTGCAAGGTTTATTTTGTGTTATAATATGTCTTTAATATGTGTACTCTTCATTAAACAGCTCTTGCACTTTTTAACAGTGTTGTTTCATTGTCTCTGTATAAAGAATGAATAAATGGGGGAAAAAAACATCACAATGGAATCACTGCAGTGGAGGAGATTCTTATATAAACATAATAAATAAATACAAAATCTCCATGGCATCTAGAATTTCTAAAAGTATCATAGTAACTACAGTTAAGTATTTACATATATGGGATCTCCTGCATTATATGAAGCCTTCGTAATCTAATTTTCATTGTATTTTTGATTAAATAGTTATTTATTATTGTATTTATATGATATTGGTGGAAACTGGTCAATTTGTTCAAGGGAACCCTTTCTTCCAATATTGTGGTTATTAATGCAATAAATGCCCTAATAAAAATAAAGTAATGCAAGCTTATTAAATTGTAGCCTGTTTATTAACACAAGCTATGGCTGTAAAATAAGGTTTTTGTTTAAAAAAATCAAGTGACATTTCAGCAGTGTAATTTAATAATTAATTAATAATTATTATGATTATCTCAGCAGTGTAATTTAATAATTAATAATTATTATGATTATTTCAGCAGTGTAATTTAATAATTAATTAATAATAATTATTATTTCAGCAGTGTATGTCAAGTTCCTGCTTTTTATCCAGAGTCCAAACATGACGGATTTAGCATTATAATAGTTAAATATAACAATTAATTTTAAATAATTGTAAGTGTGCCGTTAATCACTAGTGTGCGTTTATGATCGTGTACCACGTGATGAACACAATGCGACTGCAACCGGCAGCCGCTCGGATTTTTTATTTGTAGTTTTTTTATATTAATATATATACATGATTTAGTTTCAGAAGTTATGACGGAAATATTTTCAACTTTGTTCGGACTAAATGACGCACAGCCATCCACGGGGCCAGCAGGTTTGGGTTTCGCCGCCGGTAAACCTCCACCGCCGATGCCGTCAAACCAAGCGCCGGTGGCGGCTCAGATTCCAGGACAGCTCGGGGATGAGGGGCCTACACTGCGAAAACCCGGAGCCATGAACGAACCTTTCTATTTACTTCGAGAACTGCCCGGTAAATACGTCCGTAGTGCTTAGGGATACAGTACAGCGTGTGTGTGACTTGTAATAATGTTTTGTAACTTGGTAAACTGCATCTAGATGCGCTTTTGTGTTTGTTTTGATTCAGTTGGAAGCGACCTGACGGGAAACACGAACCTCATCACGTATTATAATCTGGAACACGCGTTTAATAAATTCTGCGGCAAGAAAGTGAAGGAGAAACTGAGCAACTTTTTACCAGAGTTACCAGGTGAAGTAAATATGTTTGTTTTTGAGAAAAGGAGATGCATATTATCCTCTGAATTCCATGAAAATGTTTGCCACAAATGGTTTGTTGACATAATTTTGTGACCCTGCACCACAAAACCAGTCAAATTTTGGGTAAATTTTGTGAAATTGAGATTTATGCATGATCTGAAAGCTGAATAAATAAGCTTCCATTGATGTATGGGTTACTAGGATAGAACAATATTTGGCTGAGATACAACTATTTGAAAATCTGGAATCTGAGGGTGCAAAAAAATCTAAATATTGAGAAAATCATCTTTAAAGTTGTCCAAATGAAGCTCTTAGCAATGCATATTACTAATCAAAAATTAAGTTTTGATATATTTACAGTAGGACATTTACAAAATATCTTCATGGAGCATGATCTTTACTTAATATCCTAATGATTTTTGGCATAAAAGAAAAATCCATAATTTTGACCCATACAATGTATTGTTGGCTATTGCTACAAATATACCCCAGCGACTTAAGACTGCTTTTGTGCTCCAGGGACACATATTCCATGTTAGTGCCATGGTCAGGGTTGCCAGGTTTTCTCAGCAAAACCCACCCAATTGCTTTCCAGGAGGGATCCCCTGGTAAAAATCAATGGTAAATACACGTTTTAACATTCCAGTTATTGGGGTCACGTCAACCCGCGGACATTAAAAACATCCCTCGGAAAGAGTGTTAAAGTAGCCCAAATCCGTGGGAAAACTGCAGACTTGGCAACACTGACCACAGTACTGTAGTGAGTCGTGTTCTCTCTCTTGCAGGTATGATAGACTGTCCAGGGATTCAAGATGGCAGTTCTCTGCGCTCTCTCATAGAGAAACCTCCGGTCTGTGGAAACTCTTTCAGTCCGCTGACAGGAGCTCTACTCACCGGATTTCGATTACACACTGGCCCGGTAAACTAATGCACTAACACAGCGGCTGCCTATTTAGACAACATACTATCTAAAGCATTTACAACATCTTCTCAGAGCCTCGTGTTTACAGTGTTTGTGTGTGTTGCAGCTTCCAGAGCAGTACAGACTGATGCACATACAGCCGCCAAAGAAAAAGAGCAAACATAAAAACCGACATCCCCGACCTCAGGATCCTCTGCCACCAGGTGACACATAAACCTGATGTTTTTCACATGCACACAAACGCATACGGGCATTAACTCGCCTGTGTTTCCTGTGCAGAGACCCCCTCAGATTCTGACCCCAAGAAGAAGAAGAAAAAGAGGGATGATGATCCCGATCGCAAGAAGAAAAAGAAAGACAAGAAGAAAAAAAAGGTGAGTGACTCACAGGGCAAGCCTTAAAACAGTCCAAATGACTGAATAAGATTGGACTTAGAGGACAGACTATATCATTTTTAGAGAAATAATAGAATATGAAATGCATAAACTTTGGAGATACATTTAAAGGGACAGTTCACCCAAAAATGATAATACTGATAATAATCGTCGTTGGTATAATACACGTTTTTTTTTTTTGGCGGGGTTCCCCTTGTACAAATTGCATTCCAGGGGCTAAATATCACGTTATTGGGGTCGCTTCAACCCACGGCAACAGTGTTAAAGAAGCCCAATTCCGTGGGAAAACTGCAGACTTGGCAACACTGATGCCATTGTGTTCTGTGAATGATTTTGACTGATTTTAAAACATCTGCTTTCTCTGTATTGTCTTTTTCTCTTAGAATCGACACAGTCCTGATCACCCTGGTCTTACTGGATCTCAACCCAACAGCAACAGCCTGAGATAGAACCAGTGTGTGTGTGTGTGTGTGTGTGTGTGAGAGAGTGTGTGTGAGAGAGTGTGTG